CTCAAAAGAAGACATGCAAATGGCCAACAGGTGTATGAAAAAAAAAATGCTCACCATCACTGATCATCAGAGAATACAGTTTAAAACCACAATAAATTATCACTCACACCTGTTTGAATGACTATTATCAAAAAGATGAAAAATGAGTCTTGGGAAGAATTTGAAGAAAAGGGAGCCCTTGTACACGGCTGATGGGAATGTAAATTAGTACAGCCATTTGAAAAACAGCATGGAGGTTCCTCAAAAAATTAAAAATAGAACTACCATGTGAGACAGTACTGGATATGTATCCAAAGGAAAGGAAATCATTTTGTCAAAGAGGTATCTGCATTCCCATGTTTATTGCAGCACTATTCACAGTAGCCAAGATATGGAATCAGCCTAACTGTTCATTCAAAAATGTGTACCAGGGAGGACCCAAAAGCACCCAGAATTTATTTATAAAAAATTGTGTATTTATTCTGACATGTTTAAACTGCAGTCATCATCAAAGTACTCTCCATTGGATGCAATACACCTATCGAGATGCTTTTTCCATTGCTCAGAACAGTTTTTGAACTCATCCATTGTAATGTGTTTTAGTGCTTCTGCTGTTTTTGATTCATCTCTTCTATATCGGCAAAATGTTTCCCTTTAAGGACTTTTTTCATCTGGGGAAACCTAAAAGAAGTCGCTTGGGGCGAGATCTGGTGCATAGGGAGGATGGAGCATGAGATCATGTCGTTTTTAGTTAAAAAAAAAAAAAAATGACTGAACACTCAGCTCAGCATGGGCAGGTGCGCTTGTAAATCACCCATCGTTAAACGGGCAAATGCATTGAAAGAATCTCCAAAAAAGTTTAACTGAAGCCAAACACAGCCTCTCACAGCAAAGCTAGTTGGTGCACTGTTGCCAATGGGGGTCCTAGAACACTTACCTAGTGGGGGAAGCCTGTACTTCAAGGGGCCTGCCCTCCAAAAAATAATTCCAGGCTTTTCTGGGTCTCCTCGTATATACACAATGATATACTGTTCAGTACAGTATAGTAAAGAAGAAGGAAATCCTGTCATTTGCAACAAAGTGGATAAACCTGGAGGCCGTTACATTAATGAAACAAGCCAGGCACAGGAAAACAAATACCACATGATTTCACTTACTTGTGGAATCCAAAAAAGTTGAATTTATAGAAAGAAAGAGTGGAAGGGTAGTTACAGGGACTGAGGGTGATGGAAAGGGATTAGGAAGATGTTGATCAAAGGATACACATTTTCAGTTAGACAAGAGTAGCAAGTTCAAGAAAGCTATGGTACAACGTGGCAACGAGAATGAATAACAATGGACTTGAACATTGCTAAAAGTAGATTTTAAGTGTTCTCACCACAAATAAATGTTAAATATGTGAGATAATACGTATGTTAATTAACTGGAGTTAGGTGTACCACAGTGTATCCATATTTCAAAACATCATGTTGTGCACCATAAATATATACAATTTAACTGTTGATTAAAATGTAATTAATTGCCAGGCTCGGTGGCTCAGCCTGTAATCCCGCGCCTTTGGGAGACTGAGGTGAGTGGATTGCCTGAGCCCGCGGGTTCGAGACCCGCCTGGGCAGCAAGACCTCATCTCTACAATAAATCAAAAAATCAGCCGAGCGTGGTAGCGCATGCCTGTAATTCTGGCTACTTGGAAGGCTGAGGCGGGAGGATCGCCGGAGCCCAGCAGGTCGAGGCCGGGAGCGGCCACTGCACTCCAGTCTGGGCGACAGAGTGAGAATCCAACTCAAAAAAAAAAAAAAAAAAGTAATTAATTACTTAATTTTTTAAAAAGAAGAATGAATGGTGTGTCTCAACTGCTGGTTAGTATTGTATGCATCAGATACCAAAGGAAATACAATAAATAACAAGATAGGCGTGGCTCTGCTCCCAGGGGGCTGATGCTAGTAGAAACACTTTTTTCTTTTTTTTTTTTCTGAGTCAGGATCTCACTCAATTGCCCAGGCTGGAGTGCAGTGGCACAATCACAACTCACTGCAGCCCTGAACTCTTGGGCTAAAGAATTCCACCTCCCTCAGCCCTCTGAGTAGCCAGGACTACAGGAACACACAACCACACCTGGCTAATGTTTTTATTTTGTTACAGAGACAGGACCTCACTATGTTGCCCAGGCTGGTATGGAACTCCTGGCCTCAAGCATTCCTCCCCCCTCAGTCTTCCAAAGTACTGGAATTACAGAGGTGAACCACCGTGTCCTACCAAAAACCAAACTTTCTAAAAAAAAGTAAACAAACTGTCACAAACTGCAAACGGTGCTAAGAAGGAGACAGATGAAACTGGCCCCAGATGGGGTGTATAAAGACAGGAGAGGGGCAGACCCTGGCTTGGGCAAACGAGTCAGAGAAGACGCCTTTGGATGTGACATTCACACTTACCCTTGAAAAAGGAGGAGGAGCCAGCCCTGCAGAAAGCCAGAGGAAGGGCATTCCAGGAAGAAGGAACGACAGGAGCAAGGTCCTCAAGACAGGAAAGTCCTTGCCTGTTGAAGGGACATAAGAGGAGAGTTGCAGGTGCAGCGTTGGGAGGAAGGCCAGCTGGGGAGGAGGCGGGGCCTGGCGCCCGCAGAGCCCTGCAGACCACGAAAGAGGTCTGGATTTGTCCTCGGTACACTGGAAGGCACTGAAAGGCCTTAAGCGGAGATGTAACATGGCTCGTGTTTTAAGCTCACTCTGACCCTGTGCAAGAGACTGGTTTGGATGGGGGAAAAAAACAGGAAGACCCATCAGGAAGCCACCGCCATAGCCAGGGATCCAGGAACTAGATGCCGGTGTTTGGGTCCCGGGCGAGGGCAGGAGAGGTGGAGTTGGCGCTTGGGTGGCTAAATCAAAGACTGATGGAGAGGATGTGGGCATAAGAAAAGGTTCTGGCTTGAGCACTGGATGGACAGTGGTGCCATTTGCTGAGATGAGATGACTGAGAGACAAGTTTGGAAGGGGGTGGGTGGGTTAACAAAAAGTTCCGTTTGGGACCTGATACATTTGAGGGTCTGAGAGCTTTCCGTGAGATGAGCCTACGTAAGCTGCTGTGTGTGTGGACACATGGACCTGGTGGGGAGAGAGGGCCAGGTCCCACTGAGGGGGACAGGATGGGTGGTCTGGTCACCCCAGGCAAACCCTATGACATGGGCAGTTCCCTCACCTCAGTTTCCTTATCTGTGGAGTGGAACTCCTCGTAGCCCCTACATCGGGACTTGTAACGATTGTATAATATGTAGAAAGAGCTTAGATTTCAGTAGTGAGTCTCCAGTAAGTGTCAGTTTCCTGTAACAACAATCAGCATCATCAGCATCTTAAGCTGCAGTAATTTTCTTGCCATTTGTCTCTTTCTAATTAAAATCAAGGACCTCAGTAGCTGGTAAACACTTGTCCTGATGTTCATGGAATTATCCATTCACGAGTCCATGAGCTCTGTGAACACAGGGTCTGCCTCCCACCTTCAGAGCCCCGCCACGTGGGGCCCAGCTCACAGTAGGTGCTCAGTCACATTCATCCAGTCACATGGAATTTAGCTTGACTTCAGGAAAAAAAAAATGCTCATTGGAGTCCATCAAGGATGGAGGATATCAGAAGGGACTTAGACATAGACAAGAAGCCATTCGGCCTGGCTTGGTGGCTCAGCCTGTAATCCCAGCACTTTGGGAGGCCAAGGCGAGTGGATTGCCTGAGCCTGCGGGTTCGAGACCCGGCCAGGCAACTTGATGAGACCTCATCTCTACAATAAATCAAAAATTAGCTGGACGTGGTAGCGCACGCCTGTAATTCTAGCTACTTGGAAGACTGAGGTGGAAGGATCGCCGGAGCCCAGCAGGTGGATGCTGGGGTGGCTGTGAGCGTGCCACTGCACTCCAACCTGGCCCATGGAGTGAGACTCCAACTCAAAAAAATTTTTTAAAAAAGCAATTCACCTGGTGTTTTTCTGTGACAATGATAATTGACAGCGTCTTTGCTTCCAAGAAGGGAGCTCTTAATTTCACAAAGCAGCTCCTTCCAGAATTGAATGGTTGGATGGGGTTTTCCATACCCTGAGTCAAATCTGATATCTCCCTGAGATGTGCACATCCTCCCCCTCGGTCAAGGGTTCTGTGCAACACCTGCACACCTGACCCTTACCTCTCCCAGAAGCCTCTATGGTATATGTGTGCCCTGGGATATGGCCTTCTCCTCTGAACCACTGCCCTCTGCCCTGTTCATTTTGCCTGAAGCTTCTTCCTTATCCATTCTTTTAGGGACCATTAGTCACTTGGATGAAGCTCTTGGACTCACCAAAGGTCTTCTCATTTCCCTTTGGGCATAAATGCTCCTTCCACTTTGAAGGGATCCGTGTTTCTCCTTGTATTCTTTCTGGGCCCCTGGTAGCAAAAGACAGGACACCCAGCTACATTTCAATTGCAGGTGAACAGTGGATAGTGTTTTAGTATAAGTAGGTCTCGTGCTGTACTTGCTAAATCTGGCAACCCCGAGCCACAGCAGACCTAAGGTCAATGCCCCAAGCTGGGCCAAGAAGCCCTAGGGCACAACCTCATCTGTGCCCCAGAAGGTCACAGCCCCATCTGTGTCCTAGAAGGTCACGTCTTGGATTCATCCACATCCAAGTCTGGAGCCGTGGTCTGGAGCCAGGGCCCAAGACCGCCATCCTCCTCCACCACCAGGGAGCTCTGTCTTCCCTGGAGAGTCTCTCAACAGTGCTGGGGTGATCCTGACCCTCCACCTGCCATGAAAAGGTCTTAATGCTGGTATCCAGGTCCTGGATGGATACCTCCCTCCCAAACGGTGGGCCCCTAAATACCTTTCTTTTTTTTTTTTTT